AACTAAAAAAACACTTACATCTATAAAATGAAACAAATATACTAAAAAAGTAATTACATTTACTAAAAAAGTACTTGCATAAAAAAGATTATTGATAAAATTTATTTTAATAAAAAAATAAAAAATACGCAAATAAAAAGGATTAGGCTTACCGCCTAGTGATTTCTAGCAGTTTTCATCATAATAATAAAACGGTAAAACTGAAAGACTGTTAATTTAAATTATAATTTCACAAATGAAATGTTCTTATCGTGAAAGCAACATCTTTCCGAAACCCACCATTTTCTTGACGAAAATCCATTAATCAAAACACTCATTTATACACAACCAAAACTCAATACTCACATAACAAAGAATAAAGCTTGATGTTCAAATACCGAAAACATGAATAAAACTCAAATATCCCATAACAACCAAATATAACAATATACAACATCTAAAGCGTCAAATCATGGATACTCTTCATACCCAAAATAACACGAAAAATGAATAAAATATCATATCCAAAACTCATCTTTCGGTGACGGGGGAGACCTGATTCCATTGAATGTGACGGAACACAAAAATAGGTCAAGTATCTATCTTATATGAGTGTCACTTATGAATTACACCTTCATTAATATCAACCTCTCCAGATCTATAGGTTAATGAGTTAACAAGCTCAACAATTCAATGTCTATTACTTGTACAGTCACCAAGTTTAGCCATACTAGGTTTATACCTTGGAATCTCCAAAAATCTTATTTAAACTCGTTCACAAGAAATTACATTTTGTTGGTCACTGGCTGATACTAGACTCATAGAGCCCACACCTTATTGCCTAAGAAGACCCAATGCCTATTTCACGTTATATTATGGGAATATTCATCCCACTCAAACCGACTCTTACGTTTATGGATCTGTTCCATTACAGTCTAAATTGCATGACTCAAACTAAATGACCAAGACACTCAAAACATGTAATTCTCAATAAATATGTCATAACCACATACAAACTCCAAAAGCTGAATATAGAGCAAAATATATCGGACATTCTCCCCAAGACTCTTATGAGTTAAAACTGGACCAAAAGCTCAATAACTCCATTGACTATACAATAAAAGTCATCAAAATGAATAAATGTATTTAACCGACGTTTGTGCAATTACATGCTCCAAAGGCATGATAGGCCAGCATAAAAGTTTCATTTCAGGGAAGGACGACGTACTATGATACTTTCTGTTTTGTCCTTCCAAACTATGGATAGGCTACCGGGCTGTTGGTTGCAAATGCAACGTAGGCGCTTTAGGTGTGTGTTGGCCATGCACTCTAGCGTCGTGTAATGCTCCCTCATGTATAGCGGATTCTTCGCCTCACAGTTTGGCTACCCATCATCATTCCCTAACCATACTAGAAAGAGAATAGAAAGGGCCTTAGCGAGGGAGTGATGGGCAACCTTAGTCTCGTAACATCAACTGCAGAAGAATGCGGTTAGAGTTGATGAACAGGAGAAGGCCGCAATACATCTCCATCATCATTCTCCCCCGGGGCTGATTAATTAGGTTAAGGAAAATATGAAGCGCCCCCATTAAAGAGAACATTCAAGGRTACATCGAGTCTCTTGGATTTCACATCATAGTGTCTATACCTGGATTGAGCATATCCAAGGAAACCACTTGGAACAATTAACGTAAGGAGCGCTTAACTCAAAACCCCATCATTGATTGAAACAAACCATTTTCCAAATAAATCATATCCTTATATTTCCAAAATTTCTCATAACACGAGAACACACATTTCCCAAACGGTTTATAGAACCAAATACATCAAAAATACATTAATATAAAATAATCTTCATTTGTAATGAAAGGATGAAACCAAATACATCAAAATATAGGCATGGGAATAGGCTCCGACCCGTCGGGAAACCTGGTCCACCCGCCCCGGCCAGGAACGGGGATTTTATTTATGCAATACCTTTGTTAAACAATTCCAGGACAACTTTGATTTCGTTCTTTACCCAAGAACAACAGTTTCAGAAACAATGAATTACCTCTATAAATCATATAAGAATTGACTGCATCTTTATAAAAATTCATACTAGATCTATTGAATCATTTGAATTTTTATGTAAAGATGTATAGATAGGGTTAATAATTTAGTTGTGGCGCTGTAAAACCATTAATAAGCAATATGAAATCCAGCTCGAAAGGATGAAATTCTTGAATAGGAATTAGGATGCAGGGGAATCCTGATTTTACCACTCACAAGCTAAAGCAGGGACACGGAAATCGAAATTCCCGATTATATGGTCACAATTCATATCACAACCAACCGATGTGGGATAGACTATCGTGCTATTGGTAACATAAACCCGTGTCGATTATTGGACAACTTCAAACAACTGTCATTAAGAAAATGATGATTTTATTATATAAAGAATGACGTTCAAAACCTTTGAAAACCCTAAATGAGTCGAACAATCCTTACGAGCTTCATTGCCGAATTTTTGGGGATGGCAAAGAATAGTCTAAATGCATTCTGTATTTCCGATAAAAGAAAATATGACAGCCAAAAAAATACGACGTTTGTTCAATAAAGTTAATGAAGAGACGCCTAAAACGAGGCTTTTAAACAACCACGTATATAATAAGTCATAAGGTTGATGAATATTTAATGCTACCGAGATAAAGTTCCTTTATCGGATAATTTTCAAGTGATTAAAAGAAGAAAACCATTCTAGATGTTGCAATCAGCAAGAGTCTGGCCATCCTCAAGCTACTTTCCAGCAAAGATCAATCGTTGTTGATTCGGAGAAATATCTACGATACAAAAGCATTCAGACGCGTTTACATGTAGATAATCCAATATTCATTTTCAATACAAGGAAACCATCATACCTTCCTTGTCTTGTATCTTGGCGTTGACATTGTCGATGGTTTGTCACTCTCTATGCGAGTCTAATGAAGATTTGGGCAAATGGTTATATGAAAGCATCTCCAACAGCCTCTCCAAAATGGGTAAACTGAAAAAATGAGGATTTTGAGAATATTTCGCTCTAGGGATGAGAAGAGGACCGGTTTCAGAACCAAACCGAACCGTATCGAATCGAATCGAAGCCAAATGCATGAAATCGGTTCGGTTTTCGGTCCCAAGAATACTTCAAAATCGGTATCCGGTATCTGATATTTGGTGCCGAGAATTTCCCGAAAATACAGAAACTGAACTGAGTAATCCAATAATCAATGTGACTATTCCAGTTCCATCTCTATCTTATAAACTAATTCATCTCTATTTCGTAATTAATCCATATATTTTCCTAAAATAATTCATACCTTCTCCATAACCATTAAATTAATCTAAAAATTAGTATAACCATAAATAAATAAAAATCGGCCCTACAGTAGCACCATCAAAAAGTTGGTATTATCACACCATCAAGAAATTGGTTGTTTCACGTTTGAACTTTTGATTGTTCAACTTTTGCGATTAATTTTGATTGTTTCTTTACCCACTTTAAATTTTCAGTCCTAAGTGGTCCTCATCCCGAATTTCCCATCCTGAAATCGAGACTGAACCGGTACCGACTTTGTACATATGGTTCGGTTGCTTTCGATTCTCGTTTTCAATCCCAAAAAATTTCGGTACCAACCGGTTCGGTACCGTTCCGATACTGATCTCATCCCTATTTTGCTCTAACAGCTTCCTAAAATTATCTTCAAAATGAAGAAAGTAGTAAAGACAAGGTTTTTTTCTCCAAATACGGAGAACACCCAACAAATATTACCAAATGAGACAATCAATAGTGAACTTTGAAAATAAATATTTAGCAAGAAAAATAATATTTTAATAAAAGAATTAATTTTTTTAATATTATAATCAAGGTTGAATTCTTCAAAATAGAGAATCCGTTGAATATGAATGTAAATTTTTTGAAGATTTTAATTTTTGGTTCTCCATTATAAATAATTTTGAAGAATATGTTGGAGATACTTTAAAGTAACAGGAATTGGTTTTACGATTGGGATTCCAAATTGGCCCAACTTTAATTTCCCGCAAGCTAATGATTATTTGACTTAAATTTAAACACCACATATACCAAATAAATATTACTCCTCTATTGCCAAATAAAGTTGATTATCAGCAACTTCAACCTGTTTTACATGAAACTCGTCTATAAAGACACCAAGATAAATGGACATTTTTGTATGCATATAATACAGCAAGATAGATCGTGATTTTTAAACTGATAATTTAAACCCTCAACTTGACTCATGTTTCACTTTATCTCTTATAAATATACTCATATGTAAATATATCTATATTTGAAAATTTAAAAACCCAATTAAAAGAAATGAAAGATATATATCAACATGAGCATAGAGAATAAAATATTTGGTTTTTAATTAAAATATAATTATATTTAAGACAATTTAAAGTTTTTTCTAAATGAGGTAAATTTATAAAGTTTATAGGCCGTTTTTATGAAGTTGCTTGGTCCCATCCAAGATAGGTGAGAGAGCAAAACTAGGACCAACTGGGACCGATTATACTTTCTAGAAGTTTTCAGGTCTATAACCGGTTACGAGACAATAACCGGTTGTTCATGAAAACAGATTTTTGCAAATATATGTAATATTTAAAGATTTTTACAAATTTGTAATATAAGGTTGTATAGAAAAAATACAAATAAATGTATATCTAAAACGTATTTCAGTACTCAATTTCAAAAATCATAATCACAAAAACTTATATAACATTTTTGTGTAAAAAGATTTAAAATTTTTGATTTTCTTCTGAAAACCATGCCAGGATTGGAAGCGAAACTGGAACCGGAGCCAGGACTTCTTGTCGTCTCTAGAGTCATGCCTATTTTTTGCCTCGGGGTCCGAGACAGCAAGACTAGAAAGCCCGGTTACACTTTCACCAGTTGGGACCAGCAGCAATTTGGGACCGGATTTTGATCATCTCCCAAGGAACCCCTATCCTACATATTCAGAAGGAAACAGAAGACTGTAATCTTACCTTTGGAAAGAACGTTTATTCATGGAGAGCAGATTTGGTCATGAAATAACCACTGCTATATATTTTTCTCCAAGTGGTTCTTTGAATTACAACTATTGAAATTAGTCAATATTTTATTTGGCAACTTCTACAAGAAACCACACAACATGGATAAATATGTGATTGTTAATTGTCCATAAAAATCCAACCCATTTTGGCTTTAAATGAGGGATGCCATTTTGGGTGTCACAATCTCCAGAAGTCCCTTTGGGTTGTCCACATGAACCCAATGCCCAGACTTGGGAAGAACCACAACTGAAACCTTACCCACGGATTCATCCCCTCTCCGATTTTCAAGCCTTTTCAGCTTCTCCGTTGTATGTGGGTCCCACCTGTCACTGTTTTCGGCACGTACAATCACTATCTCCATCCCTTTGGGTGGGTGTTCTAGGAGTGGCCAGTAATCCATCTCCCTACAACATTAACAATTTCAATCCTACTTTTTTTATCAGAAAATATCAAAGGAAAAAAACAACCATTTAAACATCTAGCAAACCTGTATGAATCAAACATCTGAATGATTCCCTCAAGATCAAAAGCCCATGTCTCATGTTCTCCTGATTTTTTGAGATTGGTACCCAGCCATTCAGATAACGATCTTGAAAATCCTAGATTCGTCAAGTGATCCACCAGCCACCTGCAGCCAACATTCACAATGGAAAAATGGGAATTTGGTAGATATCTAAAATGAAAATACAGAGAAATCATTTCTTTGAAGTTAGTAGGGTATCCTACAGAAACCCCTATCAAGAAAACAAAAATAGAGTACAGCCTAAAATGACGTGTTGCTTTTGATCAACTTAGAACATCCTATAGTTTGATCAGAGAGAAGCAGGTCTTGGCCACCATACCCAATTTATAGGATGTTAAGAAAACTGTCGAGAAACTTACTTGCGTGATGGGATTGATTTTGGTATAGTCTGCAAGGTTTCCAAAACTTTCTCCACCTCCCCGCTGGTTTCTTCGGGGTTCACTATCCCAGGCACAGAATCCAGAACCCACAACTGTTCTGCATCATGTGTTTCTCTCAGTCAGTTATTGTCCCACAGTAACAAAGTAATTAACTAAATGTTGGAGAATCAAAAACTCATCAACATTGTTAAAGAGACAACTTCAGTTTATCATTACAAGTCAGAAACTCAATGGACAAAACTATCTTCAGTGGTCTAAATTTGTCTACATGTACATATGTGGCAGGGGAAAAGATCGCATGAATGAAGTCCCAATTTCTAAATGAAACACTCAAAACTACAAGAAAATCATCAAATCATGTCAGGGCTTATAAACTCAATGAATGTGGAGATTGGTGAAATTTTTCTTCTATATGAGAAACGGCTCAAAATATATGGGAGACAGTGAAAGAAACATACTCCGGTTCTGAAAATACTTCAGTACTATTTGTGGTAGAGACTATTCTTCATGATCTTCATCAAGGAGAATCATCAATAACCCAATATTTTAATGTTCTCTTTCGTCGTTAACAGGAATCATATATGTATGGGTCTTATGATTGGGAGGACAATGCACTATATCATAAGATAGTGGAACATAAAAAGGAATTTTAAGTTTCTACTTGGACTAAATAAAGATTTGGATCATGTTAGAAGCAGGATAATGCGAACAAAACCTCATCCAAGTTTTCAAGAAACTCCCTAATACCTCCTCAAGCCACCTTAAACTGAATCAAAATATGGACAAGCTCTAGTAACCGATGTTTGGGGACCTTCAAGAGTAACACAAATATTAATGGAGCAATATCGTCTGTGACTTTTATAGATGATCATACAACACTCACTTGGGTATTTCTTATGGAAGGAAAATCAAACATGGTAGAAATATTTCAAACCTGTAATTCCATGGTCCAAACTCAATTTGGGTCCAAAATCCAAGTCCTAAAATCTGATAAAGTTGAGAAATATTTCTACTCTGTCCTATGGGAATATCTATCTGAAAAAGGGATATCCCAAATAAGTTCATGTGTCAACACGCGACACCAAAATGAGACTGCAGAAAGAAAAACAGACAATTGTTGGAAGTAGCCCATTCCATTATGTTCTCTACTAAGGAAAAAAGCCATCCTTACTACGACAAATCTCATCAATAGGTTACCATCCTGCGTTCTTTATTTTAAAACTTCTTGTCAAATTCTTAACAATTTCTCCCCTCATGTCCGGTTCCTATAATCCAATCCACCTCCAAAAGTATTTGAATGTGCAGCTTTTGTCCACACCTATCAAAATAACATAAGCTAACTTGATCCACATTCTAGGCCTTAGTTGATTCAAAACAGTTACATAAAGAATATGAACTTCATATCTTACATGTTACAATAATCTAGATGAAAACATCATTTTTACGCAACCTTACCTCAAAATTCAAAGTTAAGAGCAGTTCCTAAGTTAAAAAAAGACTATACACTAGAAAAATTTTGGCTACCTACAAAAAAGACTCGAATACAGTGTTACCAAGACAGCAAGTTAGACAGATAACTCCAGTTGTCAAAACTGATGTGCGAATGGATGTTTCGTATACCATTAACAGGACTTGTAACACTACCAACTATAGTATCTACAAAGTTTCGTATAGAAATACCTGTTTCGGCAACTTGGCTGAACTGCCATAATCACCACGTGCACAGCTCATGACATATTGTAAGGCCACCTTGCCACCCAGGGAGTGCCCTAAAATAACATCAGGCCAATTCCAACCTTCAGACTTTACTAGATTATCCAGATCATTAGCAGCATTGACCATGTTATGAGGCGGATGTAAACCAGCTGATCGACCATGATTCCTCAAATCCACAAGAACCATCTTCCAATCTAGATATATTAAGTAAAACAGATAAGTTTCGAGATGATTACCATCTAACAAATGAAAAATATGGTGAAATTTTGCCACCCTCAGGGTCATCATTAACCCAAATATAATCAATAATGGAAGATCTGCTTGACCACAAAACAAAACATAAGGCCATTCATATATACACACAGAGCCGATAGAAGAGATTCGATTGTTTAAGAACCAAATAGGATGTATATAAGAATTTCCTAGTAAAGCCTCATCAACATTCAACTTTAACACACATCCAGAATGCAATTAAACCAATCTTCAGTCATCAGTCTCATAATCCATCTGTTCCACGCGTTTATTTTTATTTTTCTATTTTTTCATTTGATGTTTCTATCTCAAACCAAAATGGTACTTTTCAAATACAATACTTGGTGACAAATCTTACGCCAATATCACTTGATTCCAATCTAATTTACCCAACATTGTTTTCTTGAAAATTTTGAATTCCATATCAAGATTAGCATGTTTGATGTCAAAGTCAAAAGTGTGAGAAATTACCTGAAGGTGGAGAGAAAGTAGAGAGAGAGGAAGCCAGACTGCGAGAGAAAGATCTCCAATTTCGCGCAGATCCCATTAAGCCATGAAGAATAAACGCAGAATAATCGGCTTTGGGATTGGGATTGGGATTGGGATTGGGGGAGGGAGAGCGAACTTCTTCGAAAGCTAGGGTTTCGATCGATCTGGTAGGGGAAATAATCGATTTGGGTGAGGACAGAAATCCGATACATAATCTGAATCCGGGTTTGTTCTTGATGGTTCTCGCCATTGTTTACCCCCTTGCCGTGTGTTGAAGGTGTAGTTGGTGGCTTGGTGCTTGCTCAATTGGACTTCTTTGCTTCTTCCCGTTTATGGATATCAAATTCATTAGATTATTCCAATATGGTTTGTTGGATCCTACGAATTTGATATCCTAAATTTAATTTAGGGGTGTTTGAGATTATTTATAATTTTTAATAAAATTTCTTATCAACTTATAATAAGGTAGAATGCGGTGGCGGATCTAGAAACTATTATGGTTGGGGGCACACTTAGGAGGGTTGAAAAAATTTCGAAACCGAACAATTCGTCCGAACCAAAAAAGGTTTCGGGTTTCCATTTTCAGGTTTAAACTGTTCGGTTAACCGAATAAAGATAACTAATGTGGTGGAAATAAGCTAGGCATTGACTCTACAAATGCATTGATGTGGTGGAGAGTGACTTCTAAGGCTTATGTTTTAATCTTTTAGTACTCTTCTAAGGCCTATAAAACTAACCTAACATTTGACATTTCCATTTGATTTGCCTACAAAATTGCCTATAAAATTAACCTAACATAAAGCATTTACCAAATCACCAATAAGCTTACAACAAAATCAAAGAAGTAATCAAAATTAAAGACTAGAATTTGGAAATTAGAATTTTTACCCAAATTATTTGCTTCAATCCAGTGACTCCAACTCCAAGTCTCCAATTCCAGCCGCGCCCACAGTCGTAACTCGAACTCAATAACAAGATAAAACTCAATGGTTTAGTAACATTTTTATTTGCCTACAAAATTAACCTAAAAATAAATACCTAACCTAAAGCATTTACCAATTACCACAAAATTAACCTAAAATACTACTAATTGAAGTTGGAAATTAGAAATTTAGAAATTAGAAATTACCAATTACCCAAGAGGCACAGTCGGTCAATCCACTCCAGTCGGCTAGGGCCTAGGGTTCCTTTCCTTCGTGGCTTCGTCTTCGTGCCATCGTCGATCCGGGCATCCGTGAGTCGGTCAGTCGGACAGGCGGACAGCAGAGAGCAGACAGCACTACAGCAGCACGCCAGCGGCCAGCAGACAGTCCGTGAGTCCGTGACTCTCAGTCTCTGTCGCAACGATGAAGAAGAAGAAGAGTAGAAGTGATGTGATGGTGAGGTCGGTCGCAGCCGATGAAGAAGAAGTAAGGTAGACGGTAGTCTGGTTGGTCGCTACGCTACTCGCCTCTCGCCTACTCATCGCTTGCTTGCAGCGGTGCAGCCTTGCACTAAGACTGAACTGAGGTTAGAGGGGCCTCTTGCATCTTGTTGTTGGGGGCCCAAATTCATTTCATTGAAAAATACAAGTAAACTAATTTTTTTTGGGCCTTCCTGTTAAAAATTTGTTGGGGGCCCAGGACCCCTACCCTCATCACATACATCCGCCCCTGGTAGAATGTTTAATTTTTTTAAAAACTCTTTATTATTAATTTGGCATTAGTATAAACTGTTTATCCAAACATTTAAAAATGTTTATTACTGACATCACACCAGAATAAGTCAATTAAGGGTGTAAATGATGTGAGTCGAGCTCGAGTATCAATATATTCGACTCGAACTTTATAGTCATTTCTCAAACTCCAACTTGAACTCGAATCAAGCTCATCCGTCGAAATTTATGAAACTTTAGGGTTTTTCTTATAAATTATAAAACCTTAAAGGTGTTCCCTTAAATTTTAAATAACTAAAAGGATGCACATCAAACTTTATCATTAAAAAGACAAAATTACAACTTCATTCACCTATTTTTTTTTTATAACACATCTTCATTCTTCTTTTATTATCTCTCTTTAATATGAGACAACTTCACCAAAATTCTAAAGTTTTTTTGTCTTTTTTAATTATTATTTTAGTAGAAAAAGTTATTGATTAGTTTTTATAGTTAAAAATGCACAATATTCAATATTTAAAAATATAAGACATTTTTAATACATTAAATTATACATATTATATTATAAAACTAATTATATTTTCAAACTAATTATATAAAAAAAATCGAGTATCTTACGAGCTTTTTGTATCGTTTATTGGGTAGCTCGACTCGACTCGTTAATATGTCGAGTCGAGTTCGAGTTTCAGTCAAGCACATTCGAATCGATTGTTCACCGAGTTTTAACTAAGCTGATCTCGAATAGTTCACGAGTTGTCTTGTACCATTTACACCCTTAGGTCAACAATGTTTTCTATAAAATTATTATGCTAATTATTCTATCAAATTTTTAAAAAATTTAATTTCAAGTAATTTATTATATTTTTTCTAAATTTATATTTTAATTGTTTTATAAACTTATTTTCTCAATCAAGATGACTTGAACTTTTCTAAATTTATGTTCTATAAATTTCCTGCCAACTAATCAATTATGAATTAATTCAAATAGCTATAAAATTATTTTTTATTTTTATCAATTATAATATTAACATTTTACTTAATTTATATATTTCTTTTGTTTCAAATAAATATTTAAAACTACAAGGATAAAATAATTTAATATAAAAGACCATCAAAATTGTAAACAGAGAATGTTGAAGTGGTTTCTTATGAATGAAAATATAAATTATTCTTCCCTTTTTTATTGCAATAGTAAAATACATATCACGTTTTCGATATGTACTTACTTGTTTATTTATTCATCGCCTAACTAACATTAAGTTCATTAAAATTTTCAAGAATTTCAAGAAAAAAAATATTCTCCAACCACCTCTAAGCGTATGTTTTAAAAAAAATCTATATATTTTTATTACAATAATATTGTTTTTTGTAAATAAAACGTAATACAATTTAAACTAATTTATGTTTGAAGTTTTAATAAAAAAAATGACAAGTTATTATCTGAATTTTTAGATATTGTTAAAAAAACTGATAAAATTATTATTTGAATATTCAAAAACTTAAATAAGAAGTGATTAGTTAATTTTTAAGTTTTAAAGTAGGAAAAAATGATGGATTATTTTCTGAATTTTTAAAGTTGGAGAAGGATTAATAATATATTTTATAAAAATATTGATAAAACGAAAATTAAGAATTAGCATATGAATTTTTAAAGTTTTTATTCGATTTTTATATGAACAAATCATACGACTATATACATATGGTTAAAATTTGTAATATTGCAAAATAAATGATATATTCTTTTTTATAAATAACAATGTGTATTGTATTTTCCATTTGATTGATATATAATACAAATAAAAATTATAATTACGATAGATTAATAATTATTATTATCTATTAATTAAAAAACAAAAAAAGTAAAAGAGAAAGGGGGACATAAGTGAGAGAAAGATATATGAAATGATGTCACTTTTCAAACTTCTAAATCATTTAGGGGAGTGCTAATGGCACCCCTTTAATAGGGGTGTGGAAACATTGGAAATTGTGTCGTCATAAACATCAAATCAATTTAATTATATTTAATTATTATTTAATATATATATATATATATATATAAAGTTATAACTATATATATATACTTTCCATCGTATACTTTAATATATTATATAATATTTTTTATTTATATTATTATTATAATTTTTTATCT